ATTGGGTTGTTGTTGCTGGCTGGGCTATTTCATTTCGGAAGGGAAAATTTGGAAGATTTGTGGGCTCAAGATGGGTCTGCTATAGAAATATTCCGTTGTACCATGACAAGAAATCGATTTGCTTTTCTTCTAAATAACCTGAGGTTCGACGACTTATTGACTAAGACGGAAAGAACTACACAAGACAAGCTGGCACCCATTTGAGCGGTATTTGAATATTTTGTTCACAACTGCCAGCAAGAATATTCACCCTACGAATACCTAACATTTGTATATTTGAACATAAGAGCTTGTAGCGTTTAGAGGAAGGTGTGGTTTTTTTTTTGTGCAGGCAATATATTCTAAAGAAACAGCGAAATATGGTATAAAAATCTACACACTTGTTGACTGCAAAACATTTTATAAGATTAATTTGGAAGTATATTGTGGACAACAACCTGTTGAGAACCGTTAAAGTATCAGCAACAAGCCTTATGATGTTGTATACTGGATGGTAAATTGCGTTTCAGGGAGTTCTCGTAATACAGGGTTATTTTTCAAAGACCAGCCAAATTTAATAATTAAGTTCTCATGGCGACGCGTAAATAAGGTTTCTACATTTATTAGAAAATTTCCGAAATTGAATGTGTAACAATGCAATAACAATACCGATGACGTATCCGCAACTTTGCTCCGAGCGCCGAGAGCGAGTTCCTACGAAAACTTACGGACATCACTGCGGCGCACCCACGCGGCTCTATAAGCGGCGTCACGGCCGACCAACGGGCATTCGATCGCCAGACGAGTCAGAGTGCAATAGCCCCGCAGTTCGCTCTGATTCATAGGCTCTTCCTGTTCGATAGCGACGTAGTCTTCAGGGGCGAGTGCAGGGAGACCTAGGAAGCAATAGCCACGCAGTCCTTCCTAGTTTTATTTAGGGAGGCATTGCAGAACGATAGCCACGAAGTCCTCGAGTAGGGTTGACTATGTAATGATTGAGTATGAAATTGTATTGAGTTGAAATATACGCAATAAACCAACATAATTACCAAGGGGCCTTTAATTTCTACACATGACACGCGTTCGTGTGTGTGTCAATGCACGGAGCTTTTGCCTCCTATTTAGTTCCTTAATGACACGCGCGCTACTAAGTTGAAAACTACGACGCCAATTATGATTCCAATTTTCCCTTCATACTTTAAGAGGGTTTAGGACTGTCATAATAAATAAAATAAAAAAAAAACATCGACGACTGGGATGCTATGTTAATAAAAAGTTCTGCACACCTCGAATTAATAATATTTTACTCCCACACAAAAGACAGTACGAAATACAAATTTAGACTACAGAGCGAGGAAAAAAGTTGGAGAATAAATGTGAAAAATTTGTTGTAGAAAAGATAGTTCAGCTGGAAGGCTTCTGGTCTGGTTACTCAGGCAGCGTCAAGCGCTAAAGGCGTTTAAAACCGGACTAGCTGGGTTGCTGGCGCTGGCCGGTAAAAACGAAGTCACCCAGACGGCTACGAAGGCAGTAGAATGACGCCGAGCATTGCCGACCTCAACCGCCAAGAACATCGCATCGGCGCGTACGCTATTCAATAAACATATTCAAAACTGACAGTAATTGTATGTTGTTGTAATACAGACGTAACCGGTGACTATCTTTTTTATGGAGTATTTAAAAAATTGGAATCAAGTATTTACAACTATTAATAATTTAAAACGATTAACTGTTTACAAGAACAAACTATTTACATCTTAAATATGCAATCGCTTAAAATAAAACTAACTTACTGGTATTTTAATATGTGTTCAAAATGGAGTCCGTTTCTCATAATGCACAGTTAAGCACGTTTCCTTAAATGATTTTTCACATTAAATACATTTTTCTGAGCACTTTTCACTACCATGAAAAGCGCTTTTTGCTCCGGTGATCGTCACAGCGTTGGGCCTCTTTGACGTAAACTTGTCTCTTTATTTCACCCCATAAATAAAAGTTTAATGGTGTAAGGTCCGGTGACCTTACAGGCCATGGTATAGGCCCGCCACGCCCAATCTAACTTTCTTTGTATTCGCTATTCAAATAATCACGCATTGCACTTGAATAGTGAGGCGGAGCACCGTCGTGTTGGAAATAAAAATTATTCAGTAACACTAGGTACATTGTCCAGGAAATCTTGAATAACACCTTGTAACATGTCCAAATAATTACCACCTATTAATCGTCTTTTAATGAAATACGGGCCCACAATTATGTATTCAATAATTCCGGCCCAAACATTTACACTAAATCGCACTTGATGATAACTATCTTTTATATAATGCCAGTTGCATACTGCCCAGTAATGTTTGTTGCGACCATTATAAAGCCTTACACGCGTAAATATGGTTTCGTCAGTCCCAATAATGTCAGAATTATCAATGTTTGACAACAACCATTCACAAAAATGTTTTTTAGGCGGACCATCGTCATTATTCAGTGCTTACACAAGTTGGTAATGAAATGGGTGATATCTAGAAGAATTCAGTGTTTCCACACGTAGTAATGGCTGTGACAAGTAATACTACCTACGAAAATTTAAAAATAAGACACTCGGTAGTCGGTACGCAATGAGGTCACTTTCAAGTCAACACTGTCCGCCGGCCAGGTAAACGTACTCAGCGGTGTAATGGAAGGGAAAGGGCGGGGAGACGCGTTTATTTTTACCTAGTCAAAACTACTATTAAAAACCTAAATCTGTAACCGAGCGCGAGCGCCGATCGCCACCGACTGCTTCCGAACTCAACAAATTCCCTTACGAATGTGTGCGTGCGTATAAAATAGTAGGCGCTTCATATTTATGAATGACAAGTACTTAAAATAATGCATTTTAGTTTTTTTTCTTGTTTTTTTTTTCGCCTTTCGCTTATATTATCTATTCTAAACTTCCTCTGCAAATTTGGCCGGTTATTGCCCGTGTAAAATAACCCTCTAAAACGATGCATAATTTTTTTTACAAGTCTTGAGAGTACTGATAATTTACTCCAGAAGCATAAACTTACTGTTGTTGGGACGTTGCGTGCAAATAAATTTGGCTGCTACCTGCATTTGAAGAAAAACGTGAAGAAAATTCTTCAATGTTTGGCTTAAGAAAATATATAACTTTGGCATTTTACGTGCCGAAATCAAAAAAAAAATATTTACTTGATGTCTTCACTCCATCATGATTACTCTCTATATGGACATTTTCCCACTAATTGGAAAATCGTTCTCTTTATTTTTTTTATTTTTATTTAAATAATTTTTTTTTAAATAGATCTTATAATTGCTGAGTTTATTGTGTTAATAACGACAATATATTAGCTATTCTTGACACGCTATAGCCCAAAATAATGATATAATATTAGAATATACAATTATATACACTTCAAGCACCTCAATCTACAGTCCCCTGTCGAGTCCCATTTCCAAAATTACAAGTCTTAATAACAAATACTAATTTTTAGTATTATTATTTCCGGAATAAAAATAAATAAATAATACTAGGATACTCGTACAGTAAGCATCTATAAAAAACACAATCATATTTTAAAATAACAATTTTATTAAAAAAACTGACTCAATTTTTTGAAACAGTTCCCTGACACAATTTGAAAATTTCACTTAAATCACACTATGCATTGGCGCGGTCATTAATATCGTGAAAAGGAAAGCAATCGGTATAAAGTTAGTTCGGTTGCAAAGCCAAGCGGGCTGACGCCATTTTGTGCACTGTCATCACTGCGTTTGTATGTGAACCACGTGTCTGAGCCGCTAGTTGAAACAGTCCACTGGTAAGGATTTTTTTATAGTTTATCTGATAAAACTAATATATATTTTCTTAAATAATTACTTAGCGAGTATGTTATCATGTCTGCCTCCTCAATTTGAATAGATTGAAAATGATTTTATGTTAGGGAACTTTCTATGTAAAAATACCAGTCCCCTGATCACAGTCCTCTGTCATTTTATAACACAGGGGGCTGGTGAATTTAAGAGGAGACTGTTTCTTTTGGCTATTGCTTAGTCTAACTAAAAAGTCTCATATTCACGCAATATGAGACTTTTTAGTTTGCAGTTTTGCAGTTTCAGCATTGACCATAATTATTCAAAATATTGTTTTCCTGTAGATAATACCCCACAATGCCACCTAAAAAGAAGTCACGCGGAAGAAATATTAGCACAAAAACGTACGAGTAACTAAATATTTGAGAAGCGAACGATTTAAAAATGAATGAGAAGAAATGAAGGGAAAAGAACTTCGGTAATATCAGATGAAGCAAGAAAAAGACACTAGAAAATTAGTTAAGGACATGAGTCGTGGTAAGCACAATAAACACAAACACAAAAATACTTGAAGAAATCATTATGATACCCATCGCGCAAAGAAAAGTTTTGCAAGAAGTCACAAATACTTTTGTTAGGGAAAATACGCCCGATTCAGAGTATACAGCCACAGCTGCTCCGGCTCCTTTGAGATTGCATTAACTGATAGACACATAAATGCATTGCATTGAAGAGATTTAGGCGTATCATTTTGGCGGATCTAGACTGCAGCTTAGTCTTCACACTGTCGTAGTTTACATCAATGGGTCTAAAAAGTCCTCATTGTATTGTTTCCCAAAACACCACACACTCGCCAGCTGCTGTATGGGTGCACTTGAAGCCAATTTTTAAATTTTTACTACCATACATAACCCCCATTTATTTCGTAAATATTCATTCATTTCGTAGTATTTATTTCGCAATACCGGAACAAAACAATGGTTTATACTTTGGCATAAGGGCTTCATTGTAGAGTTCCCAAATATAGAAAAGCTTTTCTGAAATTTCTCAGCGAGTGGTCATAGTAAGAGTGGTACTGATGGATTTGCGCTACATGCAAGAGAACTGCAGATCCTGTCGTTGCTGCAGGATGTGACATTGATAGTTAAGAATCTTTTACAGAACAAAGATATCCTAGAATCACAATGTTTACGATTGACAATGAGACCATATAAAAAATGACTGACGATATTCAAAAAGATGCCGCTAATTTGAAAACTTTCAGTGGTACCCTCAAAATACATCAAGATAAGGGTAAGATATCACGATGTCCATTGGAATTACCGCTTGGCGCTGCAAGGCTTATAATGAAGAGTTTGAGAAATAAATTAATTTCAAAAATTTTCGGAAATGCTTTATAACTAGTTATTATTAAAAGTTAAATATTTTAAATTACTAAGGGGTGTTTTTTTAAGCTAGATAGAACTTTAAATTGTAAAAAGTAACACAAAAAATTAAATTTTGATGAAATATTTTTTTTTATCGTTTCAGTATACTCTGACAAATCATCATGAATAGACTCACGCTTGAACAACGCTACGAAATTATCCAAATTTACTTTGAAAATCAGTCGTCGATTCGCGCAACTTATAGACGACTTCGTCATTTTTATGGCGTACATAATCGTCCATCTGAACAAGCCATTCGTCGAACTGTGGATAGATTTCGTACCACATACTCTCTAGAGGATGCAATAACACCAACACGTCGAAGGAATGTGCGTACTGAAGAGAATATCGCCGCTGTAAACGAAAGTGTGGAAGAAGATCCAAATTTATCGATTCGTCGTCGGTCGCAGGAATTGGGGCTCTGTCCGTCCACTACGTGGAAAATTTTGCGCAAAGATCTCGGCCTACACCCGTATAAGATCCAGCTGGTGCAGGAATTGAAGCCACGAGACCATTATATGCGTCGTTCTTTCGCCGATTGGGCTCTAGAGGAGTTGGCAACTGACCCGTTGTTTTATCGCAAAATTGTGTTCAGCGATGAGGCGCATTTTTGGCTTAACGGGTTTGTTAATAAGCAAAATTGCCGCATATGGAGCGAGACCAATCCACAAGAGACCCTACAGACTCCATTACATCCAGAAAAATGCACCGTTTGGTGCGGTTTTCACGCTGGTGGCATCATCGGACCTTATTTCTTCAAAAATGAGGCCGGAGCTCGCGTTACACCATGATAAATGATTTTTTGTTTGAAAATATGGATGACATTGATCCGGAGGAGATGTGGTTTCAACAGGATGGCGCTACGTGCCATACGGCGAACGCAACCATCGACTTATTGAAATCAAAATTTGGCGATAAGTTGATTTCGAGAAATGGACCTGTCAATTGGCCTCCAAGGTCGTGCGATTTGACACCTCTCGATTATTTCCTGTGGGGCTACGTAAAGTCACTGGTTTATGCTGATAAACCAGCAACAATTGACGCCTTGGAGGCCAGCATTGTTCGTGTTATTCGTGACATACGGCCAGCAGTGCTCGAAAAAGTGGCCCAAAATTGGACGTGCAGAATGCGCTTCGTCAAGAACAGCCGCGGTGCCCATATGCCCGAAATCATTTTCAAATGTTAATGTCACGTATTGATCTTTCGAATAAAAAAAAAATTTTGATTACAATTTAATTTTTTGTGTTATTTTTTACAATTTCAAGTTCTATCGGGCTTAAAAAAACACCCATTATATGCATATATAAACATTACCCTGGATTACATAACAGTCCGCTGTCATGTTTTTCATAAAACTTACCATACCTCACAAATTAAGAGGATAATGTGTGAACTTTTTGTAAACACATATTTCATTTATTTATGCCTTTCATTGTATTTGTATATTTTTTTTAATATTCAACAAAAATATGTTTGGGACAGTGTTGTATGGGTCAGTATCCAATTAGTAGACAAATATCCATATAGATGAAGAGACTGGGGTCAAATGAAAACCAGAAGTTGTAACGTTCTTTAACAAAACAAAAAGCGGTGTGTATATGGTCGACAAACTGTCCGGGACCTATGAAATCTCCCGAAACTCAAAGCGATGGCCACTTACCATATTCTTTTATTTGCGTAATCACTGCAGGTATAAACGCCCTGATAATTTATATGCTGAATAATGACATCAAGGTCGAAAAAAACAATTAAGGGGCGGGCCTTTTAACATTTGGAATCTGAATCGACTATATACAAACTAATAAATAATTTTTCAAAGTTATGAGTTTATTAGAAAGATTGAACCTTTTCATTTAGAAATGGAAGACAACATCATTCAAATGACTACCACGCTTACAGTACATTTTCGATTGTTTGGGCCGAAAACAGTGCGCAAAAGATCGATTGTTACGTTAGCTGTGTGGCACGTTACACCGTCTTGTTGAAACCAAATGTCATCTATGTTGTCCTCTTTAATTTTGGGAAACAAAAAATCGCTCAGCATGGCGTGGTAGCGATCGCCATTCACTGTAACGGCGTTTCCTTACTCATTTTCGAAGAAAATGTCAAAATAATGCCGTCAGACAAAAATCCGCACCAGACAGTCACTTGTTGTGGATTCATTGGTTTCCCAATAATAACGTGTGGATTTTCAGAGTCCAAGATTTGACAATTTTTCTTATTGACGTATCCTCCGACGTGGAAATGGGCTTCATCTGAAAAGATGATTTTTCAGTAAAAATGTTCATCTTCGATCAAACGGTCTTCAGCCCATTGAGCAAACCGAAAACGCATCGGATGGTCATGCGGCTTCAGCTCTTGCACTAATTGAACGTTGTACGCATTCATACCGAGATCTTTATGCTAAATTCTTCTCAAAGAAGTGCGTGAAATGTTCAATTCTTGAGAAAGATGACGAGTTGATGTTGATGGTTGTTCACGCATGCTCTTAGCAACAGCAGCGATGTTTTCGGTTGAGCTCACTGGACGAGTACGAGTACGTACACAGGTGGTTTTATCCAACAACAACAACAAATTGATTCACAAACTGCGTTTTTGGCACATCCTTTTTGTCAATATTTTTTCGTAAATTTCTTACAGTTGGAGTAGAAGACTCACCACTTTGGAAATAAGTTTTTAACCCTTAATGCATTTTTGTCCGATTTTTGGTACAACTAAATTATCAAAATTAAAAAAGTTCCTAAACGTAAACTGGCACTGTTTCTGAGCAAAGCGTGAAGAGAGAGATATATCCATCCTCCTCGCACTAGTAGTGTCTGTGCGAGGAGGATTTTTACTACATTTTTTTTTTACTACATTACTACAGTAACCGTCGTTCAATTTGAAATCTGTCAAGTTGATGTTCGGCAGCTATTCGTAAAACAGTGCAATAATTTGGTATAAAAATGGTTAAACGACCTGCGGTTATTTCGGAAGGAGGTGAGTTTATCGTTTATTTCTGATCAATTTATAATTACTTTGCATGAGAATTTATAGGATTGTTATGCTAAATTATAGATGTCACTTTTTACGGACATTGCCGCTTTACCAACACTAGGTGTTTAATTTTAGATGTCTCAAATAACGGACTTTGCTAATGTTACTAACAATGATAATCTAAACGAGCACGTATGCATTTTTTTTAATGTCTAATGCTCCATGGTGATTGGTTTTAAATGCTGAATATGCTTGTTATAGGGAATAATATCAAAGCATGGCGTGCGCAAAGAATTTTAGCTTTGATTCCACCGTCAGATTCGGAACCATCCGACGTCGAAAATGATGAGAATAATGAAGATGGAGTACTTTCGTTAGACGATTCATCTTCCTGTCGAACTCTGTCTCCCGGGCTGGAAGAATTTTTGAATGGTTTTGATGACGATTTTGAAGAAGAATTAGCGAGTCTTTCTCTATAAAATAATTGTTATGATACTTTGGTGGATTCCCCTGCCACGAGCAATATTTCTCTTCAACCTTCTCCATCTGTGGTCACCATGTCAGTACAGTCTCCAAGAAATATTTCCAATGATCAGCCGCAATTATCAATACCATCCCCAGTAACACCACTATGTATTTCAACACGACGGACAAGAAACATAAGAAATGAAAATGATCCTTCTACATCCAACCAAGTCAGAAATAAGCGAAAAAAAAACTAGAACAGATGGAATTCGAGTTCAAACGCCAAAAATTCAGAAGCCAGGTACACAGATTCAGAATTTCACCCTTCTATTGATTATACGGATAAAACATCATTCGATTATTTCAAGAAGCTTTGGAATGAGGATTTATGGAACCACATCGTCGTAATGTCTAATTTATACTCTATGCAAAAACAAGGCAAGTCAATAAATCTAACAGTCAGACATAAAATCCTTTGTCGGTATTGAAATTTTAATGGGTATAGAAAGCATGCCAGCATATGCTGATTATTGGGTACAAGGTACTCGTTTTACTCCTATCGCAGACATTATGTCTCTCAAAAAATATGAGAATATAAGAGGAAACTTACACTTTAGTAATAATGATAATAATGATCTTGTAGATCGTTATTTTAAAATTAGGCTCGTGATGGAGCACTTACGGCTAAATTGTTCGGCGATCGAAGAGACCATAGACGAGATGATTGTGCCGTATAAAGGTATCTCGGCATTGGCCGGAGAACAGTTATAAAGCTGTGTAAAACTATAAAAGATAAACCTTCAACTGTTTATTTTGATAACTGGTTCACGTCTCTGGAGCTAATTTATCATCTAAAAAATGAATATGAAATTCTTTCTTTGGAGACCATAAGGGAGGACAGACTTAGAGGGCAGAATATTATCGAAGATAAAGTGCTGAAGGAAAATGGTAGAGGAAGCTAGGTAATGATTTCAGTCAATAAAAATAAGCTATCAATTGTGAAGTGGGTGGACAATGACTGTGTAAATTTAGCGAGTTCATACTGCGGAGAAGAGCTTGTTACCAGCATTTTACGATATAATAAAGATGTGAGCGAAAAGCGGTCTGTTTCATGTCAACACATTATCAAGGTGTAAAACAAAAAAATGGGTGGGTGTATAAAGCCGAAATGTTGATTTCTTTATGTTCAGTAAAGACTAGTTGAGAGACCACTAACAGTTCCGTGTTGACTATCACAAAACTCTTGTGATAGTCAACACGGAACTGTCTCAAAAACTAAAATTATTAATATAACACGCTAAAACAAATGCGCACAATGTAAAGTCCTTTAAGCACTGGAACCTTCCACACACCGTTAAAGCGTTATGTATGTTAAGACATCGTCAACGTTTATTATTTATAAGATTTATCCCTACGACTAGTTTTCATATGAAATTTAAAAGTTATGGTTGTCATTTTTAATACAATTACACAATCAATTGTACCTTGATACAACGAGCATGTCATTACTACAAAAAAATATTGAAATTAATAAACGTACCTAATCTGGTACTCAGTACTCACACAATTATAAACAATATTTCATCGTTATTTTTGATTTTGTATAAGAAAATAGAAATGAAAAATTAAACTAAAAAATGAAACTTCGTAACACTTAAGACTTTTTAACTGAAAATATTTTTTGCCAATTTGATTGTTTTATTAAACCCACGTTTTTGTATATTTATAAATGGGAATTGTTATTTAATATGTCAATGTTTTTAATTTATACAGTATCCAGCACTGTCCATTTTCTAGGACGCTAAATAAAAGAGCTGATTTTTTACGTATGCAGTGCTGTCCGTTTTATGGGACATTAAAAAACCTTCTAAATAAATTTTTTTTCTTTTTCTTTTATATCTACATTTAATTACATGCCTAACAATACATAAAAATATATTTATGAACAGAAAATAATGTTTTATTAGTGCTTTGCCGCTTTAAGGGTTAATATTCCCAATTTTTTTCACGCAAAAAGCGACCCATTTCACAAATGTCAAACAAATCTAACTTTCTGTCACATCGGAAATGTCATCAAACCTCCCAAACTCAAAATAACTTATAGTTCCAATTCCAAACGGTAAATGGCCCATCCTGTACAAACGATATTTTATCAAAACGTTGGGCTTATCCTTGATGGAAGAACATCAGAAAAATCGAAAAGAAAACGTAAGATTGCCACAATAATTGCGCAAAAGTATTGGGGAATGCTTAGATGAATTTTCGTCTACTCCACCTGTAAAAAAGCTGATGGTATCCAAAGATGTTCTAAATGCCCCAGAAAGAATGATAGAAAAACAAAATATGTTTGCGAGGAATGTTCAGTACCATTGTGTCCTGAACATTTTAATATCCATTGTGATGAATTCAGGCCATAAGTTATTTTATATATTTTTCTTTCTTTCAAAATTACTATTTCAATATTGTTCAAAATTAGAGTTATTAAGAAAAATAGTGATCTTAGGTTAATTTAAGGTGTCAGAAGTTGACAGATTTTGTTATTATTTTATGAAATAAATAATTTAGCTTTTCCTTACTCAGCATACATTTAAAAACAATAATAATAAATATAACATAAAAATGTACAGGATAATGACACAACATGAATATTTTATAGGGTGTGTCACACTCCACTTTGTAGGGCTTGTAACTAAATTGCACCTTGTATGCCGAAAACTATATTGATTATAAAATTGTAATTAAACATAGATATTCACAGAATATACGTATAGAAATAGTCCTTCGTTTATAAAATTATATATTTGCATGCCACTGGCGAATTGTACTATCCAAGCAAACAAACAAAAAGTAAGCCAATGAAGATATACACTCCCGTGTTGGGTTTCAAATGAAAGGTCTTGACAAGTTCTACGCGTTCCTCTTATCATGCCATAATGGTAAATTTATAATAAATAATGCATAACATAAAACCAATTTTATTAAATTCAATGGAAATTAAATATTTTATTTTATTCTCAGCCTTCAACATCACATCAATCCAGTTTACATCCAATATCTGAACCAGTACGCGAATCAGAATCAATTTTTGAAACTCCTCGGAGAATTGTGCTTAAAAAGAAACTGTTAAAATAGATATTTGAAGGAAAAATGTGCATCATACAAAAAATCATTTTAACCTTAAAAGAAAAATTTGGTTTAGATCCGAAATCTGATAATTAATGATTTCATGTGTAAAGCTGATGTGTGGAATTACATACGAGGGCGACACTGAAAGTTTTTAGAACTGACCACTTGTAAACGATATAATAAAAAAATACGTTCAAATTTTGAAAATGGAACTCTTTGCCAATATTATTGTGTATTTATTTTATTAATTTGTCATTTGTTTACGATTTGGCGGCAAATTGAAAATTGTCTGTGTCACGTCAGCATGAATTTAATGCGAGAAAATTTTCGTACAATGATTTTTTTATGACTTTCGATGTCATTTAAGTCAACAAGAAAGTTATGAGAGACTTCGATTGGCCTTTCACGGAGAAGTCCCATCTCGTGCCAATGTTTACAATTGGTTTAATGAGTTTAAACGTGGTCGCACTAATCTCACCGATGATCTTCGTGGGGGATGGTCATTACGCAAAAATGGTTTTAGAGGATCGAAAAACAGTTACTGAAGAGTGGTACACTAACAATTGTTTGCCACTTACCTTGGAAAAAGTTCGGGGACCTCGCAGTAGGATCCTCTTTCACCACGACAACGCCTCGTCGCATACCGCCAAGCAAACAATCGACTACTTGGCGACGTCAGACGTGGAATTACCGGGTCACGCGCCCTATAGCGCCGACCTCGAACCTTGCGATATTTATTTATTTCCGAAAATAAAAGGAAAACTTCGATTCTATCGCATGCAGCGATATATTGATGTAAATGAACACTATTTTGAAAAGATATAATAAAACTAATGACTTGCTAGTTTGTTCAGTTTTTCATTTTCTAAGAACTTTCAGTGTCACCCTAGTAAACCTTTGATCAAAAAAAAATAAGCAGAATAAACATCATATATTACACACCGCACTATTATTACGCTTACAAATATGTCAGAGACATCTACAATAAAGCCCTCCCACATCCTTAAACAATCTGCAGATCATACTCGTTAGTTGATGCAGACCCGGGTTTTACTGCCAAAACTTATCTAGTGCTAAAACAAAAACGTCAATCACGTGAACAGCCTGTGTCGTGTATGTTGATATTTGATGATATAGCGATTAGAGAGCAAACGCTATTTAATAAAAATCGCAAACTTGGTATGGTTAATTTTGGAGATGGCCCTGTAGAAGGTGAAGATGAAGACACAATAGCAACTCAGGCTTTAGTTTTCATGCTTGTGTCCTTAAGGCGTTGTCTCCACGAGCGAGAGAATCGCGGCGATATTATCGTCGTGCCACGTATTTCTATATACTCTCTATGAACGCGTCTCCACAGGGCGATTTTATCGCGGCGATGCGACGAGTGGCAACGTACCGCCGCGGTATCGTCGCTACTAGCGGCGCGCTCGCCGCGGAACGTGGCGCTCTCGCAGCGAGCGCGAGGCGAGGTCTATTTTCAATGTTTGGTTCATAAAATATTTTCTTTGTGTTATCTGATAAGAATGTGACAACTGGTAACAACTTTGATAACTGATAAGAGATTCTTATTGGATACTACCTTGCCCACAATGGGGGTCGTATAGGAATCAGTTACTCATCTTGTGATAATGGTCAGCAGAGAAATAGGCTAAAATTGCCACCTGCTTTACCGACAACGAGGTGTGGGGTGAAAGTTAGTTGTTATCTGTAGAATCAAAGTTTAAATAAGTGGAAATTTAAATGTCTGTGAATTTCAGCAATTTATGTTAAATTGACTTGTAAAAATGTTTCAGGTTGACTGTATGAGCAAATTAAGTGAATTCCGTGTTGTTTTCATGCATAAATTCTTATGGAATAGTGAAATATTGATAGTTTTGTATAAGAAGTT